GCCCGGCCCCGCCCCCTCCCCAGCTCGCCCGGGGCCCCCGCCCACTCTGCTCCTTAGCCCCGCCTCCTCAGCGGTAATGGGGGGGAGGCGGGGTGGCTGCCGAGCGCCGGGCGGGCGGAGCTCTTCACCCCGGAAACGATGAAAAGGGGAAGGATTGCCTCGTGTCACCCGCCGGAAGTGAGGGGAAGGGCGGGGCTAATGTCGAGGGCTGCGACGTGAAACGTGGGGAGGGCGGGGCGCGGCGGAGCTCAGAGTGTGACGCCCACGCGGAGGGCGGGGCGCGTTGTGAGTGACAGGGGGCGTCGCTCCCCGCCTTGCACCCATCTGCTGGGTGTGCTGCTCTGCTTCTTGCTCCCAGTTGGATGCCCTGTAGCATTGAAGTGAAGGGCTAGAAGGGACCTGGAACAATCCTGCCCTTGCTCTGGGCAGGAATCCTGCTGAGGTCAGATGCTTGGGTCTCTCGGGTCTCCTCCTGAAGACTTGCAAGGCTGGGGACTGCCCCTCCTCCCTGGGCAGTCTGGTACAGGGTCACCTTTACTGTGAAGAAGTTCTACCTTACATCCATCCTGAAGCCATCCTCTAACAGTTTCTGGCCATTGCTCCTTGTCCTCCCCTGGGGAGCCCTAGTGAGCAGTTTTCCTCCCAGCTCCTGATATTCACATTTACATACTTACATAGATGGCCACCCGGGCTCCAAGCTTCCCACGACCCACCTCAGACCCTGCCTGTCTCTGCCTCCCTCCTTCCCTCACCCCGGGGGCCTCACTGCCTCCCTGCCCCTTCCCCACCACAGACCTACCTGCTGGGGCAGGGCAGGGGGTGCGTGCGCACACGCGTTCAGCCCCCACCAATCATATTTTCTTCCTCTGCCTATGGGGAGGGAGTGGGGCTGGGGCAGGTGCTGCCCAGCGGGGGCAGGGTGGGGCATGGGACAGAGCCACAAGCGGCTGGCCTGGGGGGCAGGGGGAGGGGCCAGCTCCCGCTGCTGCACATGGGGCAGGATCTGTGCACATGGGGCAGGGCAGGCTGCTGCTGTGGTCTGGGGCCAGGGTGGTGCCAGGCTCTTCCTGTGGGGGCTGGGCCAGGGCTGCACAAAAGATGGGCAGCAGCAGCACTGCCACAGGGGGCTATGGCAAATTTTGGGGTGGCTGCCACTCCCCCCCCACCCCGTAGCCCCGATCCCAGCATTGCCGCAGCCCACCCTGAGCGAAGGCTGGCCCAGTCCCCATCCAAGAAGAGCCCAGCGTTGCCCCAGCCCACGCTGACAGCCCGTCCTCCCCACATGCAGATCTGGGGACACATGCCCCCACGCCCTCCTGGGGTGCATGCAGCGGCAGGAGCCACATCCCTTACTTGCACCCCTGGACGAGCTGCTTGTGGCTCCATCCCGGCCCCCGCCCCCACTGTGCAGCGCCTGCTCCAGCCCCCGTCCCACTCCCTCCCTCACCGCGGGACCCCTCCATGCCCCTTCTCCCACAATAGACTTACCAGCTGACCCGGCAACTCCATGCTGCCGGGCTCCACTCCTAGCCGCTCATTCATTCTGCATACCCCCTACAATCTTTTTAAGTACCCTTAGGGGTACACATACCCCTGGTTGACAACTACTGCCTTAGTCTTTTCTCATAAGGTTTGTCCTCTGGCCCTTAATCATTCTTGTGACCCTTCTCTGGACCCTTTCAAGATTCTCCACGTCATTTTTGAAGTGTGGCACCCAGAACTGGACTGCTCTGCTCTCTGCTCCTTGCCCTGTGCTCTGTGCCTGATCTGTCTGCTTTCTGCTCCGTGGCCTGCGCCGTCTGCCTGATGTACTCCTCTGTTCCCTGCCTACTGTACCACTCTGCTGTCTGCTCCCTGCCCAATCTGCCCACTGTGCCAAGCCCTGCCAATCTGCCATGTGCCACTTGTGGCGTGGGTGCCACAGGTTGTCCACCCCCATTCTAGCACCTGGACTTGCATCACTCTGGGGCTTTGAGAAGCCCACACAGCTCCCCTGCTTGCATATTATCTGAAGGGGTAGAGGGTTGGATTCAGCCCTGACAGAAACACTCAGCTGTTGAGTTCAGTGCAAGCTTAACCTGCTCACAATCCAGCATCACGCAGTCCATGATTCTTGTTCATGAAAAGCTTGGTGGAATCAGATGCAGTTTTGTTCCAAATTCAAGTCTGTAGCAAGCTATCACAACCTCTCAGCTACTCCTGTAACAGGAACCATGCACAGGCACCACTCTTTACAGTCACCCATGTTCTGACACAGCTACTCTCACACAGTCTGGCCTGGTGTTCCCCTCCAACACGGAGACCAGAAAGAATCATTTCAATTTGTGGCCAAGTCACCCTTGCTGCATCCCTGCTGGCAGCAGGATTGGAGGAGGTGAAAATTAAGGGCTGAAGTCCTTTAGAAACATCCCTGTTTCTGTGCTGTCTGACAGAATCCACCTTTTTTGGTACCAATAATCCTGGAGGAAAAGTCTTTCATCTCTGCGATGATGACGTTGGGTTTGTTTAGTTTATTATAAATATGCATTTCTCCAGCCTCTCTCCAAAAAAATGAAACTATAAAGGGAAAACAAGATAAAATGCAACTTGGATTTACCCAGTAGTCTACCCAGATAGCTTGCTTTGATAAGAGAACCAATCCTCTAGGCAGAGGAAACACAGTGGGTCTCATCTAGCTGAACTTCAGTAAGGCATTTAGTAAAGGGGCATGGGGAAATGTCAATGCAGCAGGAGAAGAGGGGAGTTAGCAGACTTATTGTAATCTGGGTAAGAAGGTGACACAGGTAACATTAGAAGGAGAAGTGTCCAGCTGAACTGGTCACTAGTGGAATTCCTCAAGGATCTGTTTTGGGGACTGATGTTGTTTAATATTGTCAGTAATGTCCTTGGCACAAATGTTAGACTTGGGCAGATTGAATTTGCTGGTGACACAATATTGGAAGTCATCAGGAATAGAGAGGAGATCAGGGTATCATACAGAAAAAAAACCTGAGACCTTGAGGCAGGTAATAGAAATAGGATGAAATTCAATAGCACAAATTGCAAGGTAAAGCACATGGGGATTAATTATAAAAACTGCTACAAGCTAGGAGCTCATCAGTTAGAAACAACTGAAGAGGAGGAGAATCTGAGTGTATTAGTTGATCTCAGGATAACTAAAAACACCAGCGTGATGCTGCCATGAAAATGACAAATACAATTTTAGGATGCTTCAGGTGAGATATTTCCAGTAGAGTTAGAAGCATCAGTGTCATTGTACGAAGCTCTGGTGAGTCCTTATCTTGAATCCTATGTAAAATTCTGTTCAAGAAAAATGAACCGAAACTGGAACAAGTAAGGGTTCTGAAAAAATAGGGAGTCTAACTTATGAGAGGAAAATAAAGGAATTTGCCTTAAGGCCAGCAATTCAAAGGCTGAGAGGGGATATGAGTGCTATGTATAAATACATCCAGGTGGTAACCAGCGAGGAAAAATATTTATTTAAGCTAAAAGACAATGCTGGCAAAAGAAGGAAAGGTCATCAGTCAGCTACAAATAAATTTAAGATGGGAATTAGAAGAAGGTTTCTAACAATTAAAGCAGTAGTTATCAACCTATTTAGACTCAAGACACTTCTCAGTAGACTCCAGGCACTCCCTGGAAAAGGCCAGTTCTTAGCTTTTACTCATGCTTTGACTGCAGAAAAACAAAAGAGAAATTATTTTATTTCAAAGAACTCAGAAAGACCACAACAAATGAGAATGTTTTGACACTGTGGATTCTTATTTGAAATCTGTAGGCTTATCTTGTGAATCAAATGTGTTTGCACACGTCACAATGCTAATATTGAGCAGTGCCATGAGACACCTTTGAAAGGATCTCATGGCACCCCAGGGTGCTACAGCCCTGTGGTTGAAATTAACTGCATTATAGGAATCAGATGCTGGAACAGCCTTCCAATGGCTTCCAAGAGCTGCTTTTAAAATGGAACTTAGTAAATTTATTAAATGGATTATTCAGTGTGGTGCCTGCAAAATAGCAGGAGTAGACTTGATGACCCTGGAGTTCCCTTCCATTCTTATGTTCCTAAATAGGGAGTGTTACTGAAGTAATATGAAAACGAATACTACAATCAATACAGAAGTCCTGGCATTATTTCTTGTGACATTACATTTAAGCTGTGCTATACCATTGCTATATTTTCAGGTTTTGCTTATGCCCAAGTGTTACATGTTAAAAGTGCAGAACTGCATCCAAGAGAGAGTGATCAGAATAGAAGCTGGAGGGCAGAGCAGCTGGTTTGGGGGCACTGGGAGCTTTCATCCACTGACATGATATCGAAAGCAGTTTTGCTTTGTGCAATAAGCCTATTAACTAGCTACTTCTACTAATAGATCAGCAATTAATGCACAGTTAAATTTTCAGAATTTAAGCCACTGACAGGAAAGGAGAAGTTCACACCTTTGCGTGCAAGTGTTTCAAGCTGTCTGCTGATCAAGAAGATAACGCTGCATTTTTCACGGTCTCAAGGTTTTCTTTGTAACAAGGAGGATGGGGGATATCAGGAATGCTTATGTTCTGAGCAGAAGTCTGCAGTAAGGGGTACAGTGCATAGAACAGCAGAATACACAACACTGCAATAAACCATATATGCCCATCTTGGGTCATACACATTTC